TGCAAGCTGGCAGGAATCCCACCCTAATGCCGCTCCGGTCTGCGTCCCTCCGTTGCGCTGATAGAGCAGAAGCAGTTTATCCAGTATTTCCTCTTGGATAAGGGTTTGCCAAGGGGCCAAGAGTAGGTGGTATTTCATCATCTATTACTTTTCCCTGAAGGGACTTGCAGCTGGAAGTGAGTTGTGTTATGAAACGTTAACACATTCCCTTCCCAGAGTTAATGGGAAGATCAAGGGGAAATTCTATCTTCCTCCAAGTCCATCTTCTTTTCCCATCCAGCCTGGACTTGCACCACATCCATGCTGCACAGCGCTGGGAGAGTGTAAAACTATGACTTCTGTTCCATTTGATTCAATTTAGAATAAAGTATCGTTCAGTTTTACATAAAAATCACTTCAGTTGGATTTTGATAACTTTCCTCACACTGAATAACTGCTTTTCCTATTAACAGTTTTATTTATTTCAGTGGAATTGAATTTATGGTGTAAGAGATCACTCAACATGACAAAGCATCACAAAATCAGACTTTAACTTAAGAAATCTTTTTGGTTTGTATTTACATGGATCCCACCCCGTAGGCATCTTGTCCATGGGAGGAGCTCTTAAGCATATCACCAGACAAGAAAATACCAATAATAAATAGTTACAACATCAAAAGTACACTGGTAGAACATCAGCAGGACACTGCAGTGGCATCACAGGAGTTCTAGTTTTCCGCAAGGTAAATAAAAGCAGGTACTTTGGCAGCTATATTACCTCTCTGTGAGTCATGACAGGAAAATCTGATTCAGGCATCTAAGGAAAGCACACTTGTGAACGCTAAACTAATACTGCTTTTTTGAAGCTACTCTTGCTACCCATACTTTTGCAGTAAAGCTCCTGACTACCTGATCTTGCTCTCTGTGCCAGTGCTGCCACTTGTTCTTGTAGCCAGAGCTACCTTAAATAGCCATGAACTGGGGACCAGAGAAGGGCTCAGTTTCCTTGAGAGGCCATGAAGAATCCCTGCATCATTTTTCACTCTGTTACAGACTGTTTGGAAATAGTCACTTCAGAATTGCAAGTGTAAACGCGGGCAAAAAAAATCAGAAAAAGTGGAGATGGAAAACTGTATTAAAATCATCATGCCTCTGCCAGGCAAGAGATGTAACACTTAAGGCATGCCCAAACTAAAACAGCAAGGAAAGAGGAAAATTCATGCTTCAAGCAGACTGCTTTTCCTTGCCAAACAGTATAGCAAAGCACTGCCTAATTAGCTATCTGCTATCACCCACATTATCCTTGAGATGCACTGTTTGGCAGGCTTCTTCCTGCCCCTAAGTACCAGTTTTCTCTAAGATATATTAGTTTGCATTTTCCAAGGTCAATCTCACTGTATTTGCTGCCCATGTTTGTAACCACTCTTTGATAATTGGTATTGCTACTCTCACTAGCAGGTTAGGCACTTCTGAATCCTCACTTCTTATGGTATTTCCACAACACTTTGCTTTCCAAAATGACATGTAAAGGAATATCACTTCTCTTTCATCAGATTGTCAGTCCACATATCACATGCAGTATCATGAACATTTATTCACTAGTATCATTTCATGAGATTCTCTACCGGTTTTCTTACTAAAATGTAAACATGTTTTATGATTTTGCCAATGTCTGAAAAATCAAGCTATTCTAGTAAGATTTTTTTTCAGACACTGAAGCTGTTTCATTGTTCATGGCTTCATATACACTCAAGGAGCCCGATCTTACCTCCTTTACTTACCCAAACAGTTCAGTGGCACAGCTTATGCGAATGAGAAGAATTTGGCTCTGTTTACTCATTTCACCCTGGTTAAAAAACATGCAAATGTTGCTATCATCTGGCATCTTCTAACACTGAACGCTTAACATGATTTTTGGAGGAAGTTCAGCACTTAACTGCCAGTGAAACCAATAGCTATTATGCACCAAATACTTCACAACAGCACCGATAGATCATAAAATATCTTTACAGAGATACTTTTAGATTTCTGTACCCTTAGCGCCATTCTTCATCTCTGACACATGCTAGAGGAACCTGCGTGACAACAGATCTGCCCATATGTCCTGTATTTTGACCACTCCTGCCCAGTGTAATGCCTCCCAAAACACCCATACAAGCCTGTTCTAAAGCTATTTTTGCCTAGCTACTGTCATTGTAAGGAAGGGCAAGGGTAACAGAAAACAGAACTTATTGCTGTTCATTTTGGTGTTCTTTATTGGTGTTGAAGCCATATGTGCCTTCAAATCTGAGACAGTATCCAGAGACAGCATTCACAGGTTTGTCCTGTGAAAAGGGGCTGTAGCCCCTCATTAGTGCTGCCTAACGTAGCTAGTCCAGTCCTTCTCCCACCAGTTTCAGCTGTCTGCGATCCAAGACCTAGTTCTGATAGCACCAGCTCCGAGAAACTTCTGAAAAAAAATCACTCCATCATGAGAAAGTACACAGAGTTATGCAAGGTAAGAAAGCCAAAATGGCAGTGGGTAGTTTTGAGATGTGGATAGTTAGCAGTTCAAGGATTCAAAAGGAAAAACCACTGCTGTGAAAAGATGTAAAATCCTAAGAGAAAAAACAGGTGGTTGGTTGGAAGATGGGGATGCAGCAATGATCAGTCCATTCCAAGGACAGCAAGGACTTTTCCCTGCATGGTTGACAACTGCCTGGCCAGCAGAGACTCACTGCTTCAGCAGAAAGACAGCTTCATGAATGTCACCTTCAGAGCCTCCCAACACCGTATGTTCACTTAGGTGTGAAACCATGAAAACCACCACCTTTTAGCCGTTGGTTGGGAAATTCCATACCTGGAGACCTCTAGTTTGTCTTTGCCATGAGCTTTTATTCTTCACAGTGGAAATTAGTCATATGATTTAGTGCTAAAAATGGGTAATATAATGCAATGTACTGGGGAGTACTTCTAGAGCATGGAAATCATCATTGCTAGATCATCTTGACATGCAGAACTGGGAATCTTCTGAGAAGATCTGAGAATCAAAGGAACTAGCTCAGACTTGATCTGTCAAGAAACTGATTAAGAGCTTTATCTTGTAAAAAGTCAAAAGAAGAGAATCTGTAAAATGCAGGAATGATAACAGTGTCCTGCGAATTATATTATTAAGGCCTCTAATAAAGAACAGATGATGTTTCAATGATTATGCTATATTAATGCTTTGACAACAATGAGTTTCTGGTTGTATATTAAATGGATGTGTTAAAATGTGATATATAAAGCACCTCCTTTCCTTCCATGATTCTGTAACCGAAAGAAACCAACAAAGTGTTTTTCTCAAACTTCCACACAAAAATTACCATTGGAACACAATTAAACCTCAGAATTCATTCCCAAAGGAGTTTGATAAAGATGTGAACAACAGGGTACTCTGACCTGATTTTCTGGTGTCACTATTGCATATACAAACTAAAAACCCCAATTTCACTCAAAGCTGTATCAGTTTGAAGTGCATGGTGATCCAGTAAACTGCACAGGTTAAAGATCTTTCACCAACTAATGAAACTGTAGTAATATTTTATTAAAACATTTTTTAAAAGCAATAGAAACATTTTATAGAAGTCTGATAGTATGTTACTATATAAAAAAATTAATTCCTTGAGCACCTGAAGACAATATGAAAGTCAACTCTATGTCTCGCAATGCTTTTGAGTAGTTCCTGTGTTCAGTGCAAAGACCCACAGTAATGAAGATGGTACAAAATCTTGAACTGAAGAGTACTACATACTTCTTGTGGTGTTGTCAAGAAATGCGAAAGAGAAATTGGTCGCTTAGTGTGGTCAAAGACTCACTCAGCAATGAATTGCCACTGGGGATGCTAATTTTACCTCTGCCTGAGAGCCTGTGTCCTTTACGGTTTCCTTTTCATCTTTTTCTTATCCGGCTTGTAGGAGTAGCTTATCTTTTGCAACGAGACTCTATGGGATGGTGGAATCTCCTATCGGACCTTCCTGGGCCACTCGTTACATAGCAGTCTCTATCCCTGGCCGTTCCTGCGCAGCCATTTAATGCCTTCTCTGGGGTTCAGTGTTATCACGGGCTAAATCACGTGAATATTGAACAGAGTCAGGCCACCCAGACAACAGTTTCCAGCTGGGAAAATCAAGACTGACCGCACGACTGTGCAGTTAGTTAATATTCAGGTACAGATTTATGCTTGCTTTTACAACGTGTCCTAACAGCACAGCTCGATGCAGTATAAGAAATAAAGAAAGCCTCTTGTTTGATAGATTTCTTACACTTCCTGTGGATTATTCGTGGGGTTTTTAGGTGCTCCTCCTAATGCTTCCAAGAAACCGTTTGGTCCCTTGCCCAGGGTAAAGCTGGGCTGCAGCATGTTCCTGCGGCAGCGAACCTCGAGCTTTCAGCCTGCAGAACCTTTTCCCCCGCCGGTCCGGAGGAACGTGCCAGCCCACGCACACTCTCCCATTGACGACCCCCCAGACCTCGGAAAAGCGCGCTAAGGAGCGTACCTACGTGCTTCTCCCCCGGGTACCGCCGTTTGCTGGGTACGCACTAACGAGAGGCGGCTGCTCGTCTAAAAGCGGAGAGCAGGGGGAGAGAGAGGGGAGGGGAAGGGGAGGGGAAGGGAAAGGAGGGGAGGGGACCCCGGTCCCGTCCCGTCCCGTCCCGTCTGCCCCGTCCCGCCGAGCCCCGCGGCGCGGACAAGCGCCGCCGCCGGCCGCGCCC